GCCTGAGATACGGGGTATAGCTGCCGAGTTTTGCAATAATAGAATAACTCTACCCGGGTGCGTACTATTTTTGTCAATGAGTATATAAACCGATCAATAATTTTTAAGATTTACATAATATTTGATTTGAACATGATCCTACGAAATAATTTAAATTTATATTTAATGTATAAAATGGAATATCACAAATTTAATTTACCGGAAATTTATTCTGAATTTTTTTTGTCCTAACTTAACATAAATAAAGTTTAAAATGCATTTATAAACTTAGACTATTTCTATAATTTTACACTCATTTATCAAAGAGTGTTATTGTAAATTAGGATTCGAATAATTATTTATACTTGAATATAAATAAAAGGAATTTCGATTAAAATAAACAAAGAAATGTTTTCAGAATATAGTTTATAAAGAAAAAAATCAGTTTGTTCTTTACTACCGGCACTTGATGGATTATCGTGTAACATTTAAGAAGACATTATCTCTTACAGAAATAAATAATGGATATTGTAATGTTCGAGTCGTGCAAAGGACATAAAGAAATGAAATAAAATATTAATTAAAAAATATTTAAATTGTAATTAAAGTGTGTTTATTATTATTTTAATTCATTGAAATAAATATTAATGACAAATTTTGCCAAGAATCTCTTATTGAAGTCGAGTCATTGTAACTTTTTACTTTAGTTTCATAAGAGCTTAAGGAAAATTAATTATATGTTAATAGTCACAAAATGGTTCTTTCAATATCAATTTATTCAATTTAATCACAAATCTGACGATAAAAGATGTTGTGGAAGGCGAAATAAAAATTATTTTTAAGATGGCATCTCTGAAAAGTCCAAATGTAAAATTCACCTATTCCATTATAACAATGTTTTAATCACATTAATTATTATTTTTTCTTTTATATGTTAGTATCTTATTCTCCTATTCTGATTTTTAAAAATATTTTACTTTAATCTTTCGAGATTTACGAGGTGTTCATTGATGCTAAACTGTAAGAGGGCCTTTCCGCCGAGCGGTTAGGTGGTAGCCTAAAAATGTAAAAACTCTATATTAAATTGCTCGAGCTTTAATTAAATTGGTAAATTTTAAGTTAAAAAAAGTATGTAATAATTTATTTTAACCAATTTTTATAAAAAGTAGTTAATTTATAATCAAGTTACAAATTCATAACATGGTATTATTTTATAGAATTTACTTTGTAACTGGGTTAATGTGTTAAATTTAATAAAATACTACATTTTCTATGAATCGTTAACAAGCTAATTTCATATAAAAACTCAAAAAGTAATTACATTTTTAAAAGTCTGATTAAAAATTAATCCAAGTGAAATTTCAATTTTTTTTTAAATTTCATTTTAAAGGGTTTTTTTTTCATTAAATAAAACAAATAGTTAAGAAATGTTTTAAAAGTGTATTTCCGTATACGCAGACAAAAGAACTATTGCAAGCATTAACTGCCAAATATAATTGATAGACATAAAAACTATATTTGGAGAGAACAGAAAGCTTGTAACTATAATCGTTAATGAATTTGGTCTCGTTCCGGGTAAACGAATACTTTATTACGATAAATTTTATTACGAGAAATTGTTATCCCTATACAATACTATGCAATTTTACGATTTAGTTGCATTATACAACTATAAATGTAACTAATAAATTTAGTCCTTTCCGTTTCTTTCATCTATGACGTGATACGAATCCTGGCAATGAAAGAAATATATTTACTATAATTGAATTACCCAAGTAAATTATTATGAAATAGTCATTTTTAAATTATAAATAATTAGTATTATCTTTAATTTACTGATTTGTATTTAGACTATAATCAGTTAATTAATAAATTCTATAAAATTCTATCATTTATTTCTTCGATTTTCAAACTTACTCGACAAAAAAGTGCAATATATCAACAAAATTGAATCTTTATTCATTTGATTTTATTAAAAAGTATGTGTCGACACAATATATAAATGTAAAAATATATACGGTAGAACCTCAATTTAACGGATTAATTCGGGCGAGGGAGTGTCCATTAAAGCTGAAAGTCCGTTATATATTAAAGTAGGTTTTCCGAGTGTCTGTGTCTTTGTTTATCCGTTTTTACTTATGTAGATACGTTTGTATAATTAAAATTAAGTACGTAAGCGAAGTTTAATTTCATAGAAACGTTTTATATATGTAAGTTTATTATTGTTTATGCATTCACCATAGTTCTGAGAATAATGAACAAGAATACGATTTAAATCGAAATAAATAAACAAGCATTTACATCCGTTAAATAGAGGTTTTACAGGTATTAATTTAATTCAAAATATTACATTAAAACCTCGATTTCTTGCTGTACTAATAATTTGAGTTGGAGAGTATATATTTTAAGTAAAATAAATTAAAAATATGATTTAAAAAAATTGCAGTCCGGCATTGTAACGATGTCACAATAAATAATTGCTCGTTAATAATTATAATACTTGACTTATTATTTTTTTAAATTAAGCTAAAAATAACGCTCGGAAAATCTTGTGAAATGAATGAAAAACTTCAAACTTTCTGTTTTTCTAGATGTTTGAAGTGTCTTTAATCTCCTTTACGTTATGAACAAGTTTCAAAATGAATGACTTTTCAACTCTTTTTTAAAATTTAATTTATCAATTAATAAACTAAAAATTTACGATTATTTCTAATAAAGTGAAGGCATAATACTCAATACAAACGTCATTACATAATTCCTTTCCTTTATATTTATTTTTTATTTTATCTTCTAAGATTTTAAACTAACTTTCCTTATAATTCAGTTAATTTATCCCGATATTTCTAACAGTTACTAATATAGTTTTTTTTTTTTTAATTTGATCGTAATCAATTGGTTTCTTTTTTCTGTTGACAGTATTTTATAACTTCTGTTGCAGTTAAAATAATTTATTATTACGAGATTAGCTGTTTATTAAAGAGTGTTATTTAAAACTGTATTCATTTTTACGAATAATAAAAGTTTATTAACTAATTTCCACATAACATAACTGCAATATCTCATTGATTGATAATTTTTCAAAGAATAGCTTTTCTGTATTAATTAAAATTAAGACAGAATCCATCGAAATCAGTCATATTTATTCACTTCAGTGCCTGGACCTATATTAAACTGGCAACGGCCTTCTTTTTTAGATGAAACAGGAGCAGGAAACTCTTGATAATTAAAAAAAAAACCTGTATGATAAAATTCCATTTCGTTCCTAATTTTCCTTAAAAATTTTATTACTCACAATTTCATTTTTTCACTGGAAATTTTTGTTCACTATTTTCATAATGTATATTAAATTATAATTTACTTCTCTGTGCCAATCATTAACTATATGAATTCGTAGAATACGAATGTTAAAAATGGGAATGCTGTAAATTACATTCATACGTTCGATATAGAAATGCTAGTTTTTAAATATTTCGATCAATAATTGTCATTAATTTATATTATAAAGTTATAAATGGTAAATCGGAATGTCAATAGAAGTTGTTTTAAGCTATTTATATATAAAGAAAAACAATTTAAACACAATTAATATAGATTTTCATCATTTATCTTTTATAACATTTAAAAAACAAGAAAAAAAATCTAAAAAATATTCTTTCGATATTTTTAAATGTTTGATTTAGTCTTAGTTTTATTTAAAAAGAAAAAAAAAGAAAACAAACGTTAAAAATATTTTAAATCGATCATTTAGTGCTCGAGAATAACATCCCGCCATCTGGTGAATAAAATTTATATTAATAAAATCTTTGTAAATATTTCTTTTGGAAAAGATAATGTAACGAAAATTAAACATTAAAGCTCTTTAAAGTTACCAATTGGCACAATAAAGATTTCATCCGAGTTCATAATTTAATTTTAACGATGCTATAAAGTGAAATGAAACATAATAACTTCCTATAACAAGCTATAATTATGGACTCATCCATCATCCTTTCTTATTTCTAGACACAGGCGGATCAAGTTTTATCCCTTTTAAACTATGTATTAATATTTTAAAGTTACAATTTTACATCGGTTTACGATAACCATGATTCATTATTACACTTCATTATCAACAGTATCAGATCGAAGAATAGACGTCACTTCATACGTTCTGGAACGATTACATCTCTCCATCTTGTTCTGCTTTAAAAACCAGAAAATATTTTTCTAGAATGTAAGTGTTTTATTCAAAAACCAAAAGAAAAAACAGAAAAATATATTTTATTTCAAAGCTATTATAAATAAGAAGATAAAGATGAGAAGTAACAGCATCACTTTTCATCTTTATCTTCTTAGATAGAGAAATTTTCAATAAATAAATGATACTTTTAGCTGAAGTAAATAGAATTATTTAGAATTTATAATCTTTTTTTAAAATATTTTCATTATTTATATATTAAGATAAATATTTAAGAATATTTTAAACTTTACTTTCGATACATAAATTAAAAACATATTTATACTTTAATATACTTTGTATTATCAGCGATATTTTTATTTAAATGATTCCGATAATATTTTGGCATAAAAGTATCGAGAATTTAATCTCTTCTTTAGTTATGAAAATAGTTAATAACATCAGATTTGAGTTTTCGATCGCTTTACTGGACTTTAATCCTTTGATGATTAACAGCCATAATCAAAAATGAAGATAAAAGACATTTTTCGCCAATGCTATAATTACAATAATAATAATAATAAAATATAATAAAAAATATAATAATTCTGANTATAAAAAAATTATTAAAAATTTTATCGCTGAACTGTTTGTATCGCAATATCTCTTAATTGTTTGATTAGCAGTTGGATACTTCTACTAATTACATTGATTATTTTGTTTTAGTTTTAATATTCACTACTTTATTACAATACTACTTCAATCGTTATCGTTTTATTTACAGGCAGATTTTCCTATGACAATGCAGAATTATTGTTCAAAAGATAAGCTTTTTGACATTGTATCAGATGTGAGAAAGTGGCATTCAAATTTTATGAAAAATTTTGAAAAGAAATTAATAGAAGAATATAAGGTATATTCTAAAATTACTCTACTGTTAATTGTATTAGAATAATTTAGAAATATAGAACAGAATTCGAATTATTAATATTATAAAAATCTATGGTTTAGCTGATAAATTTTCATAAATAATTATGAATTATGTGCCCGAAAAGAGCTTATTATAATATAGAAATGTAATTAGATATTTGATAATTATCTCCAATTTCTGATTTGGGGTTATAGGTACTTGGGCCCAGTCGGTTTTGCCATCTCTCCGTCACAGACTCCACATTCATTGAAACTTATGCATACATTAATAAGGGAAACTAAGACATTAGTTTCAAAATTTTGTGTCTCTTAAAAATTTGGTCTCTGGACCAGGATTCAGCCAGCTCATAAATCTGGCACTGATTAGCTCCATTATAGAATATACTTAAATATCGCATGAAAATAAATTACAATTAATTTGTTTTTATAAAATTCAACTTATAATTATTTTTGTTGGATTCTGTATACAAAGTCAATTTATAGTTATAAATTTTTAATGATTGTAAATAAGTAAAGAACTATTTTTAAAAAGTGTTTTAATATGAAATAAATATCTAATTATTTGATTAATTTGTAATATATTATGAAATGTTTTAATAAATATTTTTTAAATCTAACTAGACATCTTTAGTTCTAAGTACATGACAGAATTTTAATACTCACAAGTAAATGATTGAAAACTACTGTACATCCGGGAATAAATAGCCTTTAGCATAGGCTATATGTATATATTTAATCTTATTTTGTTCTTTACTTATAATATTGAAATCGTTTATTTTACTTTTATGTTTAAAAATTAATTACGATATACTTTTAATATAATTGAATGAAATAATATTTACTTACATTACGTAATGCAATAAAAAGCTGTGACGGATTAGCTAGGATCTGGGCCCCTAAACCGAGCTTTAGTAAGGTTTCCGCCGACCTTACACCTTGTCCACACCCTCGCTGAATATAATAAAGAATACATTACATAACTTATGTGTAATGTACAGTACTGTACAACACATAATATCACAAAGTCATGTGAATCGATTACAGATCTTTATTCATTTCCTTTACATTTTTATTTTAAAACCATTTAATGTGTTTTCGTTTACCGAAGTGTCAGAATGTAAATCAACAGAAAAAAACGTATCCGATTTAGTCTAAATGAAGACTAAATGACTAAGATTCTCATCGCTCATTGTTGAGTGCAAAGTACTGAAATATCATCCCAAATATTCATGTGTACATTTAATTAAACTTTTTTTCTCGGGCAGTGGCGCGTTATAGCTACATGAAACCCAGGCGAATTCGAATTAGGATGCTCCATTTAAGGCATTTTTCTTCGAGGGAAATTTTTGGGGAAATATTTTCTTATAAAAGATCTGTTTGGGGCTCCTTATTGATCGAGGCCCCAGACAATTGTCCTTTATGCCCATAGGATAATGCGCCACTGTTCTCGGATCCCCTCTCCTTCGGATCTCTAGACTTAAGTCTGCTCATCTAATCCGCCACTGATAACAAGTCATAAGCATTCTGGCAATATAATTTATGAAATAATCATTTCATTAAAAAAATAATCAGCATAAAATTTTTTCTATGAAAAATAATTATCAAAATTAAATATTAACGCTTTAAAAATATAAATCCGAATACATTATTGCAGTAAGATTCTACATTTAATGTTTCATTTAAAAAAAAAATGATTAATATTTTAAGTTATGTAATTTACGAAAATTTATAACTTATGAAAATTTCAATAAGATTAAATGTATAATATTAAATATTTATATATTTATCTTTAAATATTTACATTTACAAAATTAAAATACATATACTGTCAATAATTATTTGAAAGTTAATGAAGAATTCAATTGTAAATACATATTTTAAAGGATATTAATTTTTAAAATATAAAAATAGAAATAAAAATAACTAAGCATTCTAGAAAGGCGTCAAAGAAAAAATTAAGAAAAGACACTTGGATCAAATCAAAGTAAATAGTACATTAGCTGCAACTGGCCATGCAGCCACCAGGAATGAAATACACACCGAACTCGCCAAAAAAGAATTATTAATAAGTGTAAAAATTCATAAATATTTTATCATTAATAAATTAACAAATATTTTACTCACATTTATTAATTAAATTTTTTCAGAGCGTGAATGACGATAAATTAGAAGCAATTAAATGTCCAAGAGGAAAAGAAAAATTAACCGAAGAACAAGTTATTTTTTGTTTATTTCATTATTTTAAAAACTTTTAATGATAAATAACATAATTTTAGCTTTATTTTCTGTTAATTCCGAATTCTGTCATATGTTTTTAATTTTAATTTTGTAATAGAATTACTATAACTAGATTTACAGTTTTATATACAGTGGATTGAAAAATATAATATATACAGTCACAACTCAAAGCAGTTACGGAATATTGCGATATAAGATATTATATTATAAGGTAAATCAATACAGTTAATCTAGTTTTAATGTTTTACGATCTTATTTATGATGCCACTCTTAAAAATTTTAGAATAATTTCATTCTTAATATGCTTGATTTGCTGTTGCAAACTACTTGTCAAGAACGAATACATAATTGCTGGATACCAATAGCTGGAATCACTTTGTAGCAAGATAATGCTGACAAATTTAACAAATCTTTTTAATTATATAAAAAAATTATTAAAAATTTTATCGCTGAACTGTTTGTATCGCAATATCTCTTAATTGTTTGATTAGCAGTTGGATACTTCTACTAATTACATTGATTATTTTGTTTTAGTTTTAATATTCACTACTTTATTACAATACTACTTCAATCGTTATCGTTTTATTTACAGGCAGATTTTCCTATGACAATGCAGAATTATTGTTCAAAAGATAAGCTTTTTGACATTGTATCAGATGTGAGAAAGTGGCAGGTTAGCATAAGATAAATCCATTTTTACAATTAAACTGTAATGAAAATTTAATTCAGAATTAATTTAAAAAATAAAAAAATAAGAAGAAGAAGAATTAAAACAACAAAAAATAATAAATAAATATAAATACATTTTAAAAAATGACCTTCACAATATAATTAATAATCTGTAAATATTTTAAATTTCTGCTTCGACTGTCAATATTTCCCTCATTCATAATTAACTCCAAAAATTAGATTAATATAACAAGATTTGTGCATTTATCATTTACCAGAAGATAATATGAAATTTTCAATAATTATTTTGAATATATTCAAATGTTTTGAGCATGTAAATTATAGTTTGTGCAACAAATTGCAAGTACTGTACACTTATTGACATTTAAAGTTACATTTTGTTTAAGAATTTAAATATATAATTTAATATAAAATATAAAATTGAAATGATTTTTTTACAGCAAAGGCAAATGGAATTTATTTTATCAAAACAAAAGATTCTTAAACGAAGAGAAGATATTAGTTTTTATGAAAAATATAAGTTTCCTTTATTAGAAAAAATAAAAGAAAATAAAGTGAGTGAATAGAAATTTTATTCTGTATATAACTGTTATTGATTTATAACCTATATAGTATGACTTCATTAATGTTTTATGTAATAAATTTAAAACCAATTGCAGACATTAGATGAAATTTATGCTACATCAAATTCTATTATTTGGAGAACAGATTTTATAGAAAATTGGATAGCCAATAGAAAAATTCTCGATTATACAGTAGAAAAAGAAGAAGATAAAGAAGTAGAAGAGAGAGAAACAGATATCAGCAGTTCTTATCTTGAAATAAGCAAAGCAACAGTTGCTTCTGAAATTGAATCTGATATGTTAATACAAGATAACAGTTCATATATGCTTGTAGATGGCCAGAGAGAAAAAGTATCATTTAATACAGATCATAAAGAAGAAACTGAAAATTTACCAACACCAGATATAGCGGAGGCCATGCCAAAAGATAATATATTGATTACACCTATTTTAGATAATACAATTATCAATGAAGCTGTAATTCTCAAGAAAGACGAAGAAGCTCCAAATGTAATACCTAATGAGAAAATATCATTTGTAGAAGAAACTGTAACAGTTACATGTGTAGAAGATCAAAAAGACGAAGGAGTATCAATTAAACACTCAGAAATCGACTTACCTATAAGTTTAGAGGAAAAAAGAGAGGAAACCGTTATTAGTTCATCTGCTGAAAAGGAAGAAATTATTCTTACTCCACCAGTCGAATTTAAAGATCACGAAACTATAGAAGACATAACAGATGAAATCATTTTAACTACACCTTCAGTTAAAGAAAAAGAATTAGTTACAACTATTGAAGATAAAGTAAATGCTACAATGCCTGCCATATCTGATAGTGAAAAAGAAAATATTTTTTCAGTTACTTCAGTTACACCTGTAGATGAAGAAATGAATACTTTAGAACCTACAGTTTTAACTAAATCTTTTATAAAAGATGAGATCGAAATAAATCAACAGAAGCTCGAAGAAGGTGAAGTTGAATCGGTTATACCGCCTGGGAAAGAGGAGACAAGTTTAAAAGAAATTAAAGAAAATGAATTTAAATCATTCGAATCTTTCGAAGAATTTCTGTCAGAAAAACATGAAAAAGAAAAAGATAAAATAATATCTGATAAAACTGTAGAAAAATCATTAACATCACCTTCTGAAGAACATAAAGATATAGTTACACCATATAGTGAAGAGCTAAAAGTTGAAATTGGACAGACATCAAAAATCGAAAATGAAAACATTACTTCAAATGATAAAATCGAAACAGAAAAATCTGATTTATGTGTAATTTCTAAAAAAGTAAAAGAAAACAATCCTCCTTCTACCTTTGAAATCGAATCTTCCCTTCCACCTTCCCTTGAAATCGAAAAAGATCCTGCATTAATTACTAAAGAAATTAAAGAATCTAGTCAAGTAATTTCTTCTAAAAACATAAATGAAGTTGAAATCTCTACCTCTGAAGAAACAAAAGAAACTTATTTCACGTTAAAGTCTGATAAAACTAATATTCATGATATTACAGAGAAAGAATTCGAACACGATACTGATTATAAAACTGAAATAATTGATAAAAATGAACGAGAAGTGAAAAATAAAGAAAGTACTATAGATATAGAAAAACCCGTTATTTCTTTCGAGAATCGAAGGACTAATATTTCTGTATCATTGGAGGCCGAAGAGACAAGTGGATCTCAAATTAATGATGAAATGAAAGCAAAAGAAATTGTCTCGGCTGTATTACCCATTGCAACCTCAGAAGACCCGTTCGAAAGTAAAGAAATTACAAATGAAGTGGAGAAAGGGAAAATTATCAATTCAAACGAAATTACCACTAAAATTAAAAATAAAAATATTGCAACTGATCGAAATAAAGAAGAATGTCATTTAGAAAGTAAAGAAGACAAATTCGCATCAAACGATGATATTGAAGAGAAAATTGTTAATGTGTCCAAAGATAAAAATATTTCATCTATAAAAGAAGACGTAAAAAATAATAATACAGAAATTACTATGCAATTTATTACCGATAAACAAAATGACATAACAATTTTAACTAATCATTCGAAGGAAATGAGTGAAAGTAGTGCATGTCCAAGTGAAATTCCTCAAACTGAAATAACAATTAAAAATGAAGCTTCACGACTAAATTCTTCAATACAAACTAATAACGTTAGAAAAAGTAAAGAAGAAATTTCAATTGAGACGGAATTCGAAACTAATAAAGAGGAACAAATTCCAAATAAGCTTTCAAGCGAAGTTTTAGAAGATAAAAAATTTGTTGACTTGCAAAATAATGATGCGAAAGATAAAGAAAATCTGGATGTAACTGATGTTTCAATCGAATTTCAAACTGAACAACCGAAAAAAGAAGTTTAATTAATAAATTACTTTATGATTTTCAAATTAACTTTATTAAATTACCTTTTTTAATTGCTTTAAGAACAATAATTAAAATAAAATATAATAAAAAAGAGAAATAAATATCACAGGCAAGTTATTTTAAATTTAGAAATAAAATTACGTATCACAAAATAATATTTAAATACATTTTAATAGAAAAATAACGAGTAATTTTTTAAATACACGACGTATATAACAAATAACATGTATAAAAATATTATTTAAATTAATTTTCCACATTTTAGTGTGTTAAATTTACAGCTCTTTTAAATTTACATTTAGTGTGTTAATTTACAGCTCTTTTCAAGGAAATAACGTAACGAAAGATCGACATAAATACCGCATTGAAGAAATGATACATAAGTAGATGAAAAAAACATTTCAAAGAAGTGATAGTTATTCAAAAACATTTAATAATGTCAAATTAAACGAGTAATTATTTATTGTGACATCGTTGCAGTGCCGGGCTTCAATTTTTAATCTTATTTTTAATTTATTTAATTTAAAATATATGCTCTCTACCTCAAATTAGTATTATCTTGTCCCTGTATATTATACTTTTCCTTTAACAATAGAATTGTGCCGGTCATCTATACAGGGGAAAAGTTTTGAATTGAAATAGCGTGACTTTCCGTTTGTATCGGAAGTTCTTATGTAGTTACTCAGGACCTCCTTTACCTAAGCTTTCCATATTTAATCTCGCTTTTATCTATCTAACGCTTTTCTCGAGATTAAGAAAGGACAGACGGGGGGAATTTATAGACCAACAAGTAACATACTCTTTACAGAATATACTGTATTTTTCAATGCGTACAACATGGGAAAATAAGACAGGAATTCGAATTCATAAAAGTTAAAATAATTTTTATAAATTAATTTACAAAATAAAAACATTATTTAACAACTTTATTAGTTTAGCTTTAAAAATTATTAGTAATCTTTTGGTAATTGGCATATGATTATAATGATTATAACGCTGTCATTCGCATTTTCTTGTTGAATATCTTGTTGGGTGGGAATAGAATCCTGTCTTGTCATAAAGACAATTTTTCTTTTTTCTTTTTGTTTTTTTTTATCGCTAATCTGGAAAAATTTAATATAATTATAGTTTGAATTCGCCATGTAGTGATTCATTGAAGTTATTTCCATTTCAAACTACTTAAATGGTTTACTAATTATAAAAAGTAATCGAAAATTTAAATCCATATTTATTACGAATTAATTGTTCTTAATAATTAATATTACACCGTTTTAAACGTAAGAATGTTATCAAAGCGTATCGAGAATTACGAAATTCAAAATTACTTTCAAACGTTTAATTCAAATCGAATCGTATTTTATCAATTTTAATTCTTTGTTTAAAAAATTATTTAACAAACAAATAATTATGTTATACATGAAAAATAAAAATTAGCATTAAAATTGGTCATTTTATTCCGAACAAAAGTACAGAATAGGACATTACGTTCCTTGGTAATCATAATAATCATACATTTTTTTTTGTAAGTTTTCATTTGTTTAAAAAATTATTATAAGAAATATTATAAAATAGTTTTTATAATATACATGTATTTCAATATTAAATAGACCTATATTATAAATTCTTAATATTTAATCAAAATTCGCTAACTCTAATAATAAATTACTTTAAAAATGTATTTATTATTTAATAGAAAAAGAAGTATAACAAATTAATGTTTAGAACCGGTTGTTTTTTTTTTTATTACTAAACAGCAATAAAAAAAAAGCAGAGCAAGGTTTTCGTTAAATAAGTTCTTGCAACACATAAAAATCAAGTTTTTAGAGTAACTTAAATAAAGCAAATATATAACTATATCGAGTATTTGTTTTGGGTTTAACCTTGCTAATCATTTTGTGGTTGGCTAGAAAGTATTCGAACATTTCCGACCTCGACATTAACCCAATCTGACCGTGCACAAACCGATTCAAATGACCTATATTGTGAGTTTACATACAATGGACGGGATACGCGCTGTGCTCTGTCATATTGGAAACAAAAGGTGGCATTTCCTCTAAAATAGTAAGGTCACACTAAAAATTTTGATATCTGAGATAGTTCTTTGTTCATTTTCAGTGAAATTTTAAAAAGAACGTTACCTCATTCACATTTATGTCTAGTTTAACTTATATCGTTTCGTATTACCACACGAATATAATCCTTGTTACATTGCAGTTAAAGGACATATTATACAAACTGTTTCATAGTCTATTATAAAATAAGGAATATTCTTTGTTTTCTAACTTTAAAAGTTTCACGAAACATATTATATTATTCAAAATATATTTATAATTCTTTATTTATTATAACATTTATTTAATACACAGTATATTGTAAAGGCTATGGAGTTTTTTTTTTTTCGAAATTATACAATCTTTGATCGTTTATTTTAGGTAATAACCGAATAAATAATTTTAAAATAATATTTAATTTATTAATTTTTGTTATTATCTTTCTACTTTATTTATATTTTTTTTAATTTAATATTTATTTCATTTTTAAAAGGATTTTTATACATATTAAATATACTCTTTTATTATTATAAATTTTATGTATTTTCGAAATAAAAAGTATTTAGAACTTAATAAATATGTGTAAATATATTTAAATCAGTCAATATGTTTAGGCAGATTTTAGACAGACAATAATAAAATCATTGCTTTTTTATATGAAAACTACTTTAATATTCTAATTTTAAATAAATGTAAAAGTAATTTTCAAAATTTAATACGTTAAATAATTCTATAGATACTTTGAATAATAGAAATCAAGAAATTATTATTAAGATATTAAATTTGCGAGAAGTTCATATGATAATTTTAGGATTATTTGATTTATTTTCACTTTAGTGAGTTAAATAGTTTAAATAGATCAAAATCTAATGTTGTTTTATATAATTTTAAGATTATATAAATAAAAAACAATTCATAAATTATGTATAAATGATTAAATACGTAAAATATATACTCAAAAATTACTTATTTTATTACGTTATGTTTCAATAACTGTAATGATAATTATAATGAAAATGAATAGAAAGTAATTTCTTTCTGTTTATTAGAAATTATTATATAAATTTCATTATATGAAATAATTATATATTGAAACATTATATAAATAAGTTAAAGTTTTGCTTTATCAGATCGTAAAATTGTTTTTAAAACAAAAGTAATGAATTAATTTCAAAATTCTATAAAATAAAAGATAAAATTTTTAGTCAAAAAGATTCGATTATTTCATTTTGTGGGAATCGTCAAAGTAAAATGTTCTCAAAAACGGCGACAACAATACAAATTAAGCATTAACGTCATAACAAATATCCAGCATTGATGTAATTTCCGTTGGATTATAATAGAACAAACAAACAAAAAAAAAACTAGTATGATCATTAAACTTTCTTGTATAAATCTCTTGCGTAATGGAAGGGTTTTAACCAGACATAAAAGTACAAAAAAACGGTAAATGATCTCCAAGTTCAAGTTCACATTGAAATTGAAAGGTTATCAATGAATATTTATTTTCTATAGCACCGCTAAGTACAATGACCTGTCACATCCAATCATTTGTGAACTCATCCGTTTATCAGTTAATATATATTAATAAAATATTCACTTTTTTATATAAAAAGAATTTTATAAATTGAATCAATTTATACACAATAAAATTTTTACGATTTTTATTATATATTTTTACATGCAATTAAATTTATTACAGTTTTATGTACTAAAAATATATTACAATATAGTAAATTATTAAAATTTAATAATACATTTTATGCAAATTCATAAAAATCTGATATATAGATTTATTTGAATTTACATTAAACATATTTTTTTTAAATAATTTATATAATAAATTTAAATTATTTCTATATTATTAATGGAAATTTATTATTCAATAATGAACAAAATAATATAAAATACTAATTAGTATTTTAATAAAATAGTTTAAAGACTATACAAATTATTAAAGAAATGGCATTAATCACTTAAAAATCTTCGTTTATCAATATCGCTACAAGACTTATAGTATTTATTTCTATATGAAAGTCATAGAAATACATCAGTAATGTAATTTTATTTGTAATTTATATTTGTAAGAACTAATATGAAATTTTACTGTACGATATTAAATCCATTCAGTATAATTTGATATGATACAGTTTGCTTATTACAAATGAAAACTAAGAATAAAAAAGTAAGTATGGAAGTTAATGTAACAGGATATTCGCTTTCTAATTCATTCTTTTAACAAATTAATTCAGCATAGAAATACTGACATGGTTCCCTTAACCACAGAAATCCAATTAAATAGTAAATAATTTTTAATTCGCATGAATGATATCCAATGAGGAATCAAAGAAGCATAAAATATTTTATGGAGAATATCTCGGAATTATAAATATAAAATAATAATATTTCAATAGCGATGTTTTTATTTATTTCTCGTTTGATAAATATAAACTTTATCGGGAAATGGTTATATTGTTATAGCTAGGGTCAAATTTATAAAAATTGATATATAGGTATAATAATTTTCTAAATATGATCGAACAAAGAAACTATCTAACAGTATCAGGATATAATTTTGGAAGGTTATTGAATCGGAAATATGAATGATAATGGAATAAACGTTAATGTACTCGCAAATGATATCGTGATTTTTTATTGTGTGCATATTATACAATAAGAAGAGGCATTTGACACATGGCGTGCTCATTCACCTTTCGCGCGCCGTTTCAAGTAAATCAAGTTTTGGTTTCAATGTCACAACAGAGTCTTTCGAATCGGATTTCACTGAAAATTTCAAGGTAATAGCCAGCGAAAGGGCGTCAACTGAGTCATTCACCCATCGCTTCCCGGATATATATTGCTTAGCTACGGAAATAAAAGCTTACTATTTAAATAACTGTCTTATTCTATATCGTTCGTGATTGGTTTAACCGAAATTACGTCATTCTTCTGTTCGTATCTAACTAGTGGCCCGTCGAGTAAATTTTGCATCCCGACCATAAAACCTCACTTCATACACAATATAAGGAATATAGGAGAGGATAAATATGTAAAGTGGCAACTTACATGTGCAAAATGAGCTTCGGTAAAATCATGTTTCCTGTGATATCGTTTCTTGCAGCTTTACGACTGTTGACTGAAGGTAGGACCTTTAAAAATGTTTCAAAATTAAGCTATTATAAAATATAAATTATTAATAATAATCAATTTAGTTTACACAATTTATAGTTTTCATTCGATTGATGCAGCTCTTTCTATTCTAATAAATGTTAATCAACAGTACAAAAGGTTAAACAATTTCTATAAACATTGCAGTTAATGCTTTCTTTTTTACAGTTTTTAATTGTTGCATTGTATTTTGACAAGTAATTTATGTAATAAACATCATATTGTCTTATTTGCCTGTTTAAATTATAAAAAATAATTTAAAAAAATTAATCTAAAAAGTATTCATTTGCACCTAGTTTATATTATGCAAAAAATAAATACATTGTAGAAAGTTATTTGTATATATGAGTGAATCTTATTGTTGCATAATTACATTACTTGTTAATTTTTATTGGTAGCAATCGTTTATGAACATTAAGAAATAAAACATGTTCAGATAACATTAAAAAGCGCGTTTAATTTTCACATACATTCGGAAGGGCTTTCTTTGTAAAATTACAAGCGGAAAACGGAAGAACTAATACTACACGAATGCTGCTAAGCGGAAATGAGTCACAAAGTATTTCCTTCTAGTTATTTTTTAGGTCTAGGGATAAAATTAACAACGGAAGGTAGTGTGTTGACATTACTGAAGCTATGGTTTTATTATAGTTAATATATAATTACTTAATAGCATTAAATGAAATCTCCATTCTTTGCATTTCATCGACTTCATTACAATATACAGTACATTACACCTAAAATATGTTAATTATAGTTATTCGTATTAAATTTTTAGATTAAAATCACTTGTAATTTTTATGTAAATATTGTATAACCGTCAGAATATTATTACTCATTTTCACTGTATTGTAAAGTTGTTCAGCAGGAAAAACATTTTTACAGGTATTTTCCTCAAAAAAATATTTGAGGAAAATGCCTCTATTTTTTAAACTAATTAATTAATAAATGCATATTTATAAAAAAGAATATATTAATGTTAATATAATAAATATGCATAAAGTAAATGAATTTTACAGCTCACTCGTGTAATAATGGCAGAGGTGTTTACGTATATGAGAAAATTCCAGACTATGTTTTAAGCGAAGGTTTCGTTGGTGAAACTACGAAAGTTGAAGTGGTAAGAAATTTTAATGTAATAAGTAATGTATTGTGAATATATAGTAAATATTTAATAAGCTTTATTANTACGCTTTGCATATATATAAATATCTGTAATTTATTATTTAATCATTAAATTTTTAAAATAGTTTTTATAATATACATACATGTATTTCAATATTAAATAGACCTATATTATAAATTCTTAATATTTAATCAAAATTCGCTAACTCTAATAATAAATTACTTTAAAAATGTATTTATTATTTAATAGAAAAAGAAGTATAACAAATTAATGTTTAGAACCGGTTGTTTTTTTTTTTATTACTAAACAGCAATAAAAAAAAAGCAGAGCAAGGTTTTCGTTAAATAAGTTCTTGCAACACATAAAAATCAAGTTTTTAGAGTAACTTAAATAAAGCAAATATATAACTATATCGAGTATTTGTTTTGGGTTTAACCTTGCTAATCATTTTGTGGTTGGCTAGAAAGTATTCGAACATTTCCGACCTCGACATTAACCCAATCTGACCGTGCACAAACCGATTCAAATGACCTATATTGTGAGTTTACATACAATGGACGGGATACGCGCTGTGCTCTGTCATATTGGAAACAAAAGGTGGCATTTCCTCTAAAATAGTAAGGTCACACTAAAAATTTTGATATCTGAGATAGTTCTTTGTTCATTTTCAGTGAAATTTTAAAAAGAACGTTACCTCATTCACATTTATGTCTAGTTTAACTTATATCGTTTCGTATTACCACACGAATATAATCCTTGTTACATTGCAGTTAAAGGACATATTATACAAACTGTTTCATAGTCTATTATAAAATAAGGAATATTCTTTGTTTTCTAACTTTAAAAGTTTCACGAAACATATTATATTATTCAAAATATATTTATAATTCTTTATTTATTATAACATTTATTTAATACACAGTATATTGTAAAGGCTATGGAGTTTTTTTTTTTTCGAAATTATACAATCTTTGATCGTTTATTTTAGGTAATAACCGAATAAATAATTTTAAAATAATATTTAATTTATTAATTTTTGTTATTATCTTTCTACTTTATTTATATTTTTTTTAATTTAATATTTATTTCATTTTTAAAAGGATTTTTATACATATTAAATATACTCTTTTATTATTATAAATTTTATGTATTTTCGAAATAAAAAGTATTTAGAACTTAATAAATATGTGTAAATATATTTAAATCAGTCAATATGTTTAGGCAGATTTTAGACAGACAATAATAAAATCATTGCTTTTTTATATGAAAACTACTTTAATATTCTAATTTTAAATAAATGTAAAAGTAATTTTCAAAATTTAATACGTTAAATAATTCTATAGATACTTTGAATAATAGAAATCAAGAAATTATTATTAAGATATTAAATTTGCGAGAAATTCATATGATAATTTTAGGATTATTTGATTTATTTTCACTTTAGTGAGTTAAATAGTTTAAATAGATCAAAATCTAATGTTGTTTTATATAATTTTAAGATTATATAAATAAAAAACAATTCATAAATTATGTATAAATGATTAAATATGTAAAATATATACTCAAAAATTACTTATTTTATTACGTTATGTTTCAATAACTGTAATGATAATTATAATGAAAATGAATAGAAAGTAATTTCTTTCTGTTTATTAGAAATTATTATATAAATTTCATTATATGAAATAATTATATATTGAAACATTATATAAATAAGTTAAAGTTTTGCTTTATCAGATCGTAAAATTGTTTTTAAAACAAAAGTAATGAATTAATTTCAAAATTCTATAAAATAAAAGATAAAATTTTTAGTCAAAAAGATTCGATTATTTCATTTTGTGGGAATCGTCAAAGTAAAATGTTCTCAAAAACGGCGACAACAATACAAATTAAGCATTAACGTCATAACAAATATCCAGCATTGATGTAATTTCCGTTGGATTATAATAGAACAAACAAACAAAAAAAAAACTAGTATGATCATTAAACTTTCTTGTATAAATCTCTTGCGTAATGGAAGGGTTTTAACCAGACATAAAAGTACAAAAAAACGGTAAATGATCTCCAAGTTCAAGTTCACATTGAAATTGAAAGGTTATCAATGAATATTTATTTTCTATAGCACCGCTAAGTACAATGACCTGTCACATCCAATCATTTGTGAACTCATCCGTTTATCAGTTAATATATATTAATAAAATATTCACTTTTTTATATAAAAAGAATTTTATAAATTGAATCAATTTATACACAATAAAATTTTTACGATTTTTATTATATATTTTTACATTTTGAATTGAGCTTAGTGCTGGAGAACTTTAAAAATAGATGTTTTTTTTTTTTTTACTTTTTATAAGCTCAAAAATTAACAAGTGCANTGAATAATGAACAAAATAATATAAAATACTAATTAGTATTTTAATAAAATAGTTTAAAGACTATACAAATTATTAAAGAAATGGCATTAATCACTTAAAAATCTTCGTTTATCAATATCGCTACAAGACTTATAGTATTTATTTCTATATGAAAGTCATAGAAATACATCAGTAATGTAATTTTATTTGTAATTTATATTTGTAAGAACTAATATGAAATTTTACTGTACGATATTAAATCCATTCAGTATAATTTGATATGATACAGTTTGCTTATTACAAATGAAAACTAAGAATAAAAAAGTAAGTATGGAAGTTAATGTAACAGGATATTCGCTTTCTAATTCATTCTTTTAACAAATTAATTCAGCATAGAAATACTGACATGGTTCCCTTAACCACAGAAATCCAATTAAATAGTAAATAATTTTTAATTCGCATGAATGATATCCAATGAGGAATCAAAGAAGCATAAAATATTTTATGGAGAATATCTCGGAATTATAAATATAAAATAATAATATTTCAATAGCGATGTTTTTATTTATTTCTCGTTTGATAAATATAAACTTTATCGGGAAATGGTTATATTGTTATAGCTAGGGTCAAATTTATAAAAATTGATATATAGGTATAATAATTTTCTAAATATGATCGAACAAAGAAACTATCTAACAGTATCAGGATATAATTTTGGAAGGTTATTGAATCGGAAATATGAATGATAATGGAATAAACGTTAATGTACTCGCAAATGATATCGTGATTTTTTATTGTGTGCATATTATACAATAAGAAGAGGCATTTGACACATGGCGTGCTCATTCACCTTTCGCGCGCCGTTTCAAGTAAATCAAGTTTTGGTTTCAATGTCACAACAGAGTCTTTCGAATCGGATTTCACTGAAAATTTCAAGGTAATAGCCAGCGAAAGGGCGTCAACTGAGTCATTCACCCATCGCTTCCCGGATATATATTGCTTAGCTACGGAAATAAAAGCTTACTATTTAAATAACTGTCTTATTCTATATCGTTCGTGATTGGTTTAACCGAAATTACGTCATTCTTCTGTTCGTATCTAACTAGTGGCCCGTCGAGTAAATTTTGCATCCCGACCATAAAACCTCACTTCATACACAATATAAGGAATATAGGAGAGGATAAATATGTAAAGTGGCAACTTACATGTGCAAAATGAGCTTCGGTAAAATCATGTTTCCTGTGATATCGTTTCTTGCAGCTTTACGACTGTTGACTGAAGGTAGGACCTTTAAAAATGTTTCAAAATTAAGCTATTATAAAATATAAATTATTAATAATAATCAATTTAGTTTACACAATTTATAGTTTTCATTCGATTGATGCAGCTCTTTCTATTCTAATAAATGTTAATCAACAGTACAAAAGGTTAAACAATTTCTATAAACATTGCAGTTAATGCTTTCTTTTTTACAGTTTTTAATTGTTGCATTGTATTTTGACAAGTAATTTATGTAATAAACATCATATTGTCTTATTTGCCTGTTTAAATTATAAAAAATAATTTAAAAAAATTAATCTAAAAAGTATTCATTTGCACCTAGTTTATATTATGCAAAAAATAAATACATTGTAGAAAGTTATTTGTATATATGAGTGAATCTTATTGTTGCATAATTACATTACTTGTTAATTTTTATTGGTAGCAATCGTTTATGAACATTAAGAAATAAAACATGTTCAGATAACATTAAAAAGCGCGTTTAATTTTCACATACATTCGGAAGGGCTTTCTTTGTAAAATTACAAGCGGAAAACGGAAGAACTAATACTACACGAATGCTGCTAAGCGGAAATGAGTCACAAAGTATTTCCTTCTAGTTATTTTTTAGGTCTAGGGATAAAATTAACAACGGAAGGTAGTGTGTTGACATTACTGAAGCTATGGTTTTATTATAGTTAATATATAATTACTTAATAGCATTAAATGAAATCTCCATTCTTTGCATTTCATCGACTTCATTACAATATACAGTACATTACACCTAAAATATGTTAATTATAGTTATTCGTATTAAATTTTTAGATTAAAATCACTTGTAATTTTTATGTAAATATTGTATAACCGTCAGAATATTATTATTCATTTTCACTGTATTGTAAAGTTGTTCAGCAGGAAAAACATTTTTACAGGTATTTTCCTCAAAAAAATATTTGAGGAAAATGCCTCTATTTTTTAAACTAATTAATTAATAAATGCATATTTATAAAAAAGAATATATTAATGTTAATATAATAAATATGCATAAAGTAAATGAATTTTACAGCTCACTCGTGTAATAATGGCAGAGGTGTTTACGTATATGAGAAAATTCCAGACTATGTTTTAAGCGAAGGTTTCGTTGGTGAAACTACGAAAGTTGAAGTGGTAAGAAATTTTAATGTAATAAGTAATGTATTGTGAATATATAGTAAATATTTAATAAGCTTTATTATATATTCACTATACATTTTTGTACGTTGAAACAACATATGTTTATTATTAAAAATTAATCAATTAATTAATAATTAGTTAACAAAGACAGGAGTAGGCGGAGATGTAGCAAGAGAATGCGGACAGTATTGCCTTAAAAATCAAAATTGCTTTTCTTTCGGATTCCTCCCGGGTAAAAGACGATCATCTCCATACGCACCACCGACCGATAATTCTTGGAGAAATGATTTATATGAAGTTCCGACATTAACAGCAGATTACGACGAATCTGTATGTTATATATATCAAAATAAAACATCAGCCGTAGGAACAGAAATTCTGGTTAAGAGACCAATGTCATGGCATTTTAATAAAATCTGTCTAACTTGTAAGAGAAATTTATATAAAATAATAATGAAATTTTATGAATTTATAGTGAAATAGTTAAATTTTAATTTGTTTTTTTTTTACTTTTTATAAGCTCAAAAATTAACAAGTGCAGTAGAAAATTCTATACTTTTCGCATTTATAAGAATTCCTGGTTATAAATTTGAAGGAGAAAATGATAAAGATGTATTTGCGGCAAACATTTCTGAATGTGAAAGTAAATGTTTTGAAGAAGACATGTGCAGGTCTGCAACGTATAATATGGCTGGTCAACGTTGTCGTATGTCCACGCAGACAAGAATGATGAATCCAAAAAATTATACTCAAGATGGAAATAGTGAATATTTAGAAAATATGGGCCTTCCTTGTAAGTATAGTTCGTATATTTACCAGTATTTCTTTTTACATTAAAATATAGTAAAATTTAACATTATATAGTCCGCGAGAGATGCCCTTCAGTTGGATATGCATTAGAAGAAAAGAAAGCTGTAGAGGAATTATACGAAGCGGCTCTACTTTCTGTCTGGAATACAGAACAATGTTCTAAACAATGTGAACTCGCTCAAACTTTTACTTGTCACGGCTTTCACATAAATGAGGTATCCAGAACTTGCATTTTATATGACGAAGAAATATCTGGATACAACGAGATCCCTCGTCCTGAAATAGATAACAGTGGTTCTTTACATAAGGTCATATGCCACACACTTGATCGAGGTTAGTTGTATTTTTAACTTTAAATTCATAAATTAAGATCCTTTTTTTTTATAAGGGATCTTAATATTAATAATTAATAATAATAAATCTTGAATTTAAAATATCATTTTCGTAATAATTTTTTCATAAAGGATGAAAGCGTAAGAATATAAAATTTAATTTATAAACCATTTTAAAAAAGGAAAAAGTTGCTGGAAATATTTATTACATTATTAATGTTCCGAAAATAGAGTTAAATTTACGTATATTCGGTATGAATCCAAATGATATGGCTCTATTTTATATGAATATAGCCTATTTGAAAAAATTAATTACATAAATTATTCACAATTTTAGTTTAATAACGCTCCTGAAATGACATTTAGTAAAAATAATTTAAATTAATAGATAATTTATTTTCCTCGAATTAATCGAATAATAATTGTAACTTTTTAATAATTTAAATTCAAGATTTATTATTTTTATATTAGTTTAATTATTAACAAAATTAATAACATAAAACAATGAACATAAATCTCACAAAAATACGAAAAAGTGCCATACAATTAATCTTTTCATGAGGTAAGTTTTCTAGAAATCTAGTGGCAAAAGATCTTTCTAGCTACGAAACAGAGATTTGAAACATTAAAAAAAAAACTCAAAATGGAAACACTTCATCAACAAGAAGAGAAATTTACAAATATTTTATGCATTTCTGCAGACCTAATCACTAAACTTACTATGAAGTTGACATCGTATTATGAAATGTGTAATCTAAATAGGCTTACTACAAAAAAAAAAAACTGAAAGTAATTATTTGTTTCAACAGTTCAAGATCAACAGAAAAATTATTTGTTGTGACTTTGAACTATAAAAATCATAAATGTACAAAGAAGGAAATAATGAAGTGTCGAAAAATATCGCTTTAATCGCATATTTCTCATCCTAAAATACCAACAATAAAACTATTTTTTTGAGTTTATTGATGTGATTTTCTGTTATAAAAATGAATTTTTATACGAATAAGATTTTAAAAATATCGAAAAGAGCGATTTCTCAAGGATCGACGACAATATCTCATTCAGCTTTCGTTCTTACATTTGACGATGATAGTTACTTTATTATAATGTAATATTTATATATTTTTGATGAAAAGATAGCAGTTATTTGTCAATATATTTCATTCAACTTTTCAAACACTGAATAGAGATGTGCTGCTAAGCGGAAATGAGTCACAAAGTATTTCCTTCTAGTTATTTTTTAGGTCTAGGGATAAAATTAACAACGGAAGGTAGTGTGTTGACATTACTGAAGCNTATATCTAAAAAGAAATTAATTACTTGATTATGTAATAAGTAATACTGGAAGAATTAAAGTGCATTGAAGCATTCAGTTTGCAAGAAGTTTGTGTCATTGAACAAAAGAGAAAATACATTTCCAGGATGAAAAGTTAAACGAAACAACAAAAATTATTATTATTATTAAGAAAATATAATAAATTCTTTAATGATTATTATTTGGGCGAAATGAAATAATAAATAATAACAAAATAATTTGGAGAGATTTAATATATTCATTACAGAAAAATTGCAGATTAACGCAAAAGAAATGTAAGTAGATTTTTCTGTATTATGTTATACGATGATGGAAGATTTTATATTGAACAAGATACTGACAGTTCCATAAAATCTCCTTCCTAGACGGACTTGTCAACTATGATTGTCTTCGACGCAAGAGATTGGATGTGGAACATCAAGTGGAAGTGAAAGCTCATTCATTCCAAGAGTGTTTAGACGAATGTGTCAAGAGATTGGGTCACTCTTGCCAAGCTGTCACCTACAGTTCCGGATATTTATCTTGCCGATTTAGTACAGATCAGGACAATAAGAGAAGTGGACGACCAAAACTAGTGGATGACAAATATTACGATTACTACGAACTTAAGTGGCGTAAGTAATGGATGGAAGAGGAGACTATTAAAGGCACTAAAAACATTAAAACGATACTGAAAAATAATTAATTCTACAAATACACTGTTGCTTTAAACTCGTTATTTTAAAATTTAAATAGCAATATAAAATAATCAACATTTATTCATTCCTTGAGTTATTAATTGCGAATCACTAGCAATATTTTAAAATTTAGTACATGGAATATATTCCCTCAGAGACGTGTAGGCCTATTTGTTTTAAAAATGATAAATCCAACAGAAATTACACCAACACTTTCAATTTCTTCTTCATTCAAGTCACAATATTTTTCATTTTTGTTTAATTATATTTTAATTTAGATATATTTAATTCGTTTATTGAATATTTTAATGTTAAAAGTCTTAATATCAGTCAACTGTATTTTAAATTTTAAGCTATTATAAATTGTTGTATCATTTTGAAATATATTAATTCATTCCAAATTATTTCCAGTGCGAGGAGCTCCTAATCAAGGACATCCAGGAGGATATCCAGGAGGAAGTCACGGATATCATGGAAATCATTTTGGTAGTCGTTCTGATAATCCTGGAAATAGCTACAGTCCCTTTGGACCGGGTGGAAATTATGGAGGACAATTCGGACCTGGATACATTCAAAACAGTAACTATGGACATCCTCATGGTGGAGGGTATGGCGGAATTCAACACGGCAGCGGTTATGGTGGAATGCCTCAAGGAAGTGGTTACGGCGGCATTCATCATGGTAGCAGTTATGGAGGAAGACCAGGATCTTACGAGAGAAATTGGCACAGACCAGGACCATCTTACCCATATGGAAACAGATTTCGACCTCCGATGTATCCTCCTCGAGGTCCTCCTCCTATTCATGGAGGTTATCCTCCTCTTCCACCTCGTGGTCCACCATTTCCTCAGGGTGGAGGTCATCCTCCTCCTCCTCCTCCATTTATGCCCGGTGGCTCTCCAGAGATTTGTAAACCTGGAATGCTAGGAATGTTTCGAAGAGTAGGAACTGGATTGCGTATGAGAAACTTTTATATCCGTCGAGTTGTGAGAGCTGAACGAATAGAAGAGTGTGAAAAGGCTTGTATGGACGAAAAGGACTTTTCTTGTGTTGCCTTCAATTTTAGGTAATAAATTTAATTAATATTAAATAATTTAAAAATAAAAAAAAAAACTTGTCAAAGCGTGTACCTTAATTTTCTTTTTTAGAGCTGTTTTTCCAGACAATTGCGAACTGACAGATCAAGATTCTAGACAGCTACAGCTCATTAATCCTGCCCATTTTGAGAAAGATTCTCAATTTGATTATTACGAAAGGGAAGGATATGGTACTGGAAATTCTGGTTGCATGGATGGTAGGAAGATTCTTAATAAAATTACTTGCTTTTTTTAAAAAGAATCATAAATTCAAGAATAATTTCATATTAAAATTTTTATTTTAGTTAGTCAAAGTTGTTCTTTGGATGGAATGGAATTTTCTTTGAAAACAACAGAACCATTTTTTGGTAGAATTTACACTTACGGTTTTTATGATTCGTGCTTCTTTGATGGCAATGGAGGAACAGTAAATGTGTTAAGAATCAGCCGTCCGAATGGCTTTCCTAGATGTGGAACGCAACAAGTACATTATTATTATTACTATTTTATTTTAATTTTCTATGAAAAAATCATTTCTTTTTGTTTAAAGTAAAGTAACTGAACTGAAATTCTTTCAGTATGGTGATTCTATGACCAATATTGTTGTCGTACAGTTCAATGATTATGTTCAAACAAGTAGAGATAAGAAATATAATTTAACTTGTTATTTATCTGGTCCTGGAGAAGCTGTTGTAACATCGAATTATTTAGATGCTAGGGTTGACGGGTTGGTAACAATTTGGTAATATTTACTAGAAATCTCAAATAATATATTCTAAATCTTGTATTTTTTAATATAAAGAAGAAGGTTTCCAACACAAATAGAACATCTACCCGCTCAGGATATGCTAACATCAATAATAAGACTGATTATTTCATACAGAGGAACTCCAACAAATACTATTGCTGTTGGAGATCTATTAACTTTTAGACTAGAAGCTAGAGGACACTGTAAGTAAAAATATGCTGGTATTATTAATTGTATTAATAAACTTGACAATAACTCAATATTTCTGTCTAAAAAACTTGTTTTCGTTTCTAGTTCAATATGATTATTATTCTGATATATTTGCAACAAACGTGATTGCCAAAGATCCATATTCTGGAAGACAAGTTCATCTAATTGACGCCAAAGGGTATAATTTTGATCTAAGTTTCATTTGATATTAAATAACATTACAAATTAGATGTCGTGATCAATCTTCACGTAGATCAAATTATTTTATTGCAAGGACAAACAAAAACGATTCGATAAAGATTTGCAGGAAATAGAAGAAAGTGATAAAATGTAAATAATCAGTCAAAAGTGCTGTAAAAATTTTCAAAAGAAAACATTTCCCTTTAGTTATATCCTGTTGCCCTGTACTTTCTAAGGGTCAATGGTAAACTATACAGGTACACTTCCTCTTTATACAATGCAAACATTGTCGACTACTTTCCATCATTTCCTACGATTGGTTATTATTTGTTTCCTCAATTAAAGATAATTTTTTTCGGAAATGAGTAGATTATAATTTTCTCTCCTTTTATTTATTTGTAATTTAAATTTTCAAGAATTTTACATAGTCTCATTTTATTGTTGAATTATTTTATGATTTCAGATGTCCTGTAGATTTATATGTTTTTCCGGAACTTCACCGCACCCCCGATGGAGCACTGGAAGCTGAATTTTACGCTTTTAAAATACCAGATTCTAATTTACTCGTTTTTCAAGCGACTGTTCGAACGTGCAGAGGTCCATGCGAACCAGTACGAAATAAGAAATTTTTATAATCTGAGACAAGTGGCGAATTTTTAATTTAAAAAATAAAATTGCAAATAATTATTTTCAATATATTTTCATTAGGTTATATGTAATGATCGCGATCGTCCTGGATCTTTTCCATCTTGGGGAAGAAAGAAAAGGAGTGTCGTTGATCCCGATTCTAACTCTAATCCTAAAGCAGATAATGTTACTGAAGAAGAAGAAGATGTCCACGAACTATTCAAAGTCTATTTTGAACGATCTGATATACCATCGAATCCTCCAAAATCGAACAGTATGCTATTTTTAAAAAATGTATTTGGTTAATTAATTATAAATTTAATAAATTTAACTAATATACACTAAAATAATAACAACAGTAATTAATTAACATGTATTATGAGTATTTTAAAGCATTAATTACTCTTTTATCCATGGTATTTTGAATGTTTAAAGTTGTAAAATGTTTCATAAAAACTAATTTTGAAATTCGAATTTTGTAATAGTATTTGTTTCTATATAGGCTTATGTTTACGAAATATTAAAGCGGAATTTTGCACAAGATGTTGCACTAAATTGCATCATTACGTTAAATGATATACAGTAGTTCAATTTTGTAATAAGTTTTATGTACAATTCAGATTTAACACATTTTTAAATCGTTTATGAATATGTAACTTGTGCAATTCTTTTTTTTTATTTTATATTTTAAAATGTCTTTTGTTCACTTTATAGAAATTACAAAAGCGCCGGTATGCACGTTACAGTCAGGATATTACACACTGATGGCAGTTGTCATTGTACTGATTTGTGTTATTCTAGCCATGTCTATAGCTGCAGTTTTCTTTATAAGAAAATATAAATTGGCCGTAAGTATATTTAACATATAAAACACAATCAATAAATACAAAATTGTATTATAATTAATTATAAATTATAAATCTATTTATCAGAAAAAGGAATGCAACACTTCTGGAACGAATCGAGGTCTAAGTAATTTATACATTAGCCGATATCCTGCAAGTGGTCGGATAGAAGATCCAAGTGAGCCAATTTATACAGATCCAGCATTATTTGAATCAGCCAGGAATATTAGACCAACGACGTTAACTCAATTTGGACGAACAAAACCAGAACTCGATTAATTTTATTCACCGATTTGGATACTTGACTTAATATAATTCGGAGATTTCTATATTTTTATAATGAAAAGTATATGGAAAACTTCCTATCTTCATCCATTTTTAGTTTTCTTTTTAAATTCTTTTGAAAGTAAAAAGAATTAGAACAAATATTTAATTTTCGGATGAAGGCTAAGTATTGTTGTTAAAAATTCTTTTTTTTTATTAAAATCATAATGGAATTTTTAACATTAATCAAAGCTTTTAACAAGTAACTTATTTATATCTTCCGATCTTAGAATTACCAAGATTTGTGAACTTATATAATAATGTAGATAATCATAAATTTTCTATTAAATGTTTTTGTCTTGTATACACTGAAATAAATTTATAGGCCAAATGTGATTTTATTGGAATCTTCAACTTGCTTTCATCTTAATAATCATAAGTCTTTTGTAAGAAAAAATCGTCTGTTATACATTTTAAAATACATAAATTTTATATTTGCATTATTCTCCAGACTCTTCATTTATTTACTTTTAGACACTGATTGTGAAAAATGAATTGAAATTTACGATTTACAAAGCAACCGATTTAAATATAAAGACTGAAATATTAATAAGATACAATCAATAGTTTCATACTATTTTTACTTTCTTACGGCCAAAATTAAGAAATTTAAAATCATATTTTGAATTTATAAATGAATATAATAACAAATTTTATTCTAAACATTATCATTTATTCATAATTTTATTTATTGTTATTAAACATTTTCTTTAGCTTTTATTCCTTTTTTTATTATATATAAAAGAATATAAAAATATTACATTAAAATAACCTACTTAATAGTGGTTATGGTGGGAAAATATATAGTATCATTTCGTTGCCATCACTGATATGACCTTCAAACATTGTACGGTATGTAGGTTTTCCTGCTATTGTTGCTACCGGTTGACATATTCATTGAACTGTATTTAAATAATGATGACAGATAAATATGTTTACGTCCTTAGCGAACAATAATATTTAAATACAAGTAATTTCTCTCTATATATGTATAGGCCTATATATATCATCCTTTATAATATGAAGATAAATAATAGATTATTTTAATAGATTAAATTACATTATATTGATTTCGCATTTATATTTCATGCAATCAGTCAGTAACATAAATTATGAGTTTTTCGATAGCTTAATTAGACGTGTAGTAATCATAACCACAAAGATGATGGCACCAAAACTGCGCAAATTCATTACGTATGGTACATAGTTTTGCTAAGTTATATGAAACTTCTCTGTATTTTCAAGCAAATGTTCCAAAACTATACAATAATTTGTATATTTCGAGGTAACATAAAATGTAAATTGCTTTGTATTGTCAAAAAGCTATTCTACCTGTGAGTTTTTTGTTTGTTTCTTCTTTAATTATATGTGATGGTTGATCTAAAATAAGTAGTTTGAAGGATAAATTTATATATAATTATTAGAAAGTACATTCATAAATGACAAAGCTTAAATTATAACAAATTGACAAAAATCTCATACGTCTGTTTATCCATTATATCTCAAAACTATCGAGCTTAATTATTCTAAATATGCTATGGAAATTCTAGATTGCAAGTAAATATAGTCTCTTAACAATAGCAAAAACTATATACACTTAACAAGAAATGTTCTATATACTGTACAAGTAAACACTGCTATCACATATTTTCTAAAACCAGCTCTATATGATTGTGTTGGAAATATGATTTCTTTATTCTCATTTTTATATTTATTTGTACTTTGTGAAAATTACCACTGACTTTGAAGAAAACGAAGTGAAAATATTAATACGTACAAAATTAATCATTTTTTAAAATACTTAACTCGGCATTCTCGTTAATTTTTGAATCAACCCACGTTTAAATTTTATATTCAACATATATTTAACGATAAATAATGTACTTATTTAAGTATAATTTTGTCATATTTTGATCTTTATCTAGTTAATTGAAAATATTCAAATATAACAGAAATGTCACATGGAATAATAAATTAAAAGAAATTAATTTTGACTACTCTTTGCGGTGGTTCCGTAGTGTAGTGGTTATCACGTTCGCTTTACACGCGAAAGGTCCCCGGTTCGATCCCGGGCGGAACCACGTTTGCTTTTTGTCTTATCGGTTTCAATTGGTTTATTTTATTAAATATTCAAGTAAAACAGTTCTTATTTGTGATTTGAGTTTAAAAATTTAATTTAATTCTAATTATCTAATGAATTGTTACTATAATGAATAAGTTATTATAATAAAAGATTGTTTAACACACTAACAATATATATAATATAAATAGTAATACAATATGGTAGGAATCAAAGTAAAAATATATATCGGATTTAATGTCAATAAATATTTTCATATCGGTATTATCCAATGTTAATTGGCATTAGAGATTGCTCTTAAAAACTTTTATTTGTAAATTTAATATAATTTACAAATAAGATTGCATTTTTATATTTCTTTTTCGCTTATTTATTTCTTGTATTATAATTTACAATAATTCTTTAGTATTTTTATTAATACACTTTCAAAATAAAAATATTATTATTGAAAAAGGAAAAAAGCAATCAATCATGGATCTATCCATAACTTGTTACATCTGAAAAATCCTTGTCAGATGCCAATAAACGATATTTGTTTAAGCTTTATGTCTTTATGTCCTAACATCATACAAGCGAATTTTCTTTCCAATCTTTGCTATCTTCGATCAGAAAACATTTGCCACCAAAAATTTTCTTTGATTTAGGGAAAAAGTAAATGGCAATCTGATTTTCTGAAATTTTGGAGTATATTAATTTTAATTGAATACTATTGTGATAATATAAGAGATACGATCTGTGAATCTATAACTAAGGAATGACTAATAAAATATTTACTATATTCAATGATATATCAATTTTTTTACATTTTTTGGATTTAGGGCACCCGGAAACTGCGAAAAATGCAATAAATTCGATTTTTTCTCGTAAGTATGGATATTCGTGTGTTTGAGAAAATCTATTTTGTTCACCCAGTTTGAAGCTTAATAACTCTTGTGCCTTGTGTTGAAATTTTGCAGGGAGGTTTGTGTATTAGGGTGATTGATGCTATTAATTAAATATTGGTGCTTAAAGGTCAAGGGAATAGGGAGATAGACTAGGCTCACGTGCTGTATCGCAAGTGGAAACGAACTTAATGATTTTATTCGTTATTAGCATTTACAAGTTATCATGACCCCATCTCTACTGTTAAAATTAAGGTTTTTGGCGTCTTCTAATAATCAATAATATAAAAACTTTTTAACTACAATCTCATAACATAGTGTAGCAAACAATTTTTATACTTCATATGCATATCACCTTGGTCTCATTATGCTATTACTATAGACTTTATATTCTTACTAACAAAATCAATGACTCTATAATTTAATAAACTAATTACATAGGTCTTGTAAACTTGTGAGTGTAACTGGCTTTTGAGGAGGTGAGAATCGCTGAAGTTGAGAGAATGAGATAAAAACAATCATTTTAGTAACTAAAATGTGCGTTTATTGATCCGAATATTTACAATAATAACACTGCAAAACACACACACACAAAAAAATGCTCAGGCTTAAGTTAACCCCAATTGATCCCTACTCAAGCTAATTACAATCACCCTGCCGATGCCGCTGACTACAACATTGGCCTCATAAGCTCAAAGTTGCCATCTAACTATAGAGTGGTACCCATACCTCTTGTATAACGTTGTATAACGTTGAGTGGTTCTCAACGTTATACAGACGGTCCCGATTGATTCTTCAAGCGCTTCTAATTTGGGTGAGAGTGTTTATCAGCCTTATAACTACAATGTGGATAGAAACTACCAGCGTGCTACTTACCCCAGCTAGGATATGAGCTACGTAGACACCAAGAAACAGAAGTCTTACTACACTTATCCTCCTACGGATTATCGCTACGCCTGAAGAAGACAGAACAAATCTGTTACGCGAGTTTCTAAGAGCGTGGAGCATTGAATATAATTTTTGTGTTTTTATAGCATTTTTAATTGTTTTCTAAATGTTTATCGCTTGTATAATATAAGATTTACTGGGCCAAATATTAAAAAATTCTTTTCTAAGCTGTGTTTGTGTTTCTTTGGACTTCTGATCAGTGCCGTAACTAGGCAGGTGCAACAGGTGCACCCGCACAGGGCCCACTTGAAAGAGGGACCCAAAATGCATGTATTTGTTTTATTACTTTCCCAAACCTAATTAATTATGGGCCTAAATGCAAATTCCTGCACAGGGCACAGGAATGGCTAGTTACGGCACTGCTTCTGATATCTGATGTACCCACATCTTCTTACCTTAAATTCGCTGATTTTGCAAAGAAACTTATTGCGTTTTTCGTAAAGTTAAAAATATTTTATGCCATTAAAGTAGATATATTTAAATCTAATCGGGATCCCTATAATTGAACGTAATCGGGCGTCATCTTTATGCCCATAAAGAGGAAGGCCCACTTACTCTGTGGGCGCTAAGGCGATTGGATAGCCGAGGCGACAAAGGTATTAGCTCACATATTTTTCTTTTTGAACACTAAAAGGCCTTTTCTGGATTTCCAACTTGAGTTCAGACGGATTTAAGAATAGACGACCAGGTGGCGAGAGATGGGGCTTTATATATTCAGGTCTCCAGAGTTTTATCATCTCCACCATTCGTCCTGCATTACGAGGGCCCGGATATAAACTTAAAATATGTTTGTGGTTAATTTGACCCATATAAATCAGATCTTGCTTCATTACCCTCGCCCCATGTGTTCTCGTCCGCCAATTTAGGTACAGTTGTTTATCCAGATCCAAATTGGTACGGCCTCATGTGTTCGAAACCATGAGATACTTCAAATAAATGAGACTTTTTCGATATCAACAGAATAAAATTTGGATAATAGATAAAATATTATGCAAACAGGCATTAGTGTTTACGATTATGACAAATTTGTATACATGAATCCTGTAAAAATATTAATATACATAAAGTTCCGTAAACGATTTCATTATTGCGTTTTCAATAATGCAAACAATGCTAGTATTGTCTAA